GCAGCGGCGCGTGTCTGCAGATGCTCGAGGGCCATAGCGATTATGTCAACGCAGTGGCCTTCTCGCACGACTCAACGCGACTGGCGTCGGCGTCCGACGATAGGACTGTCAAGATCTGGGATGCGAGCAGCAGTGCGTGTCTACAGACGCTTAAGGGCCATAGCGGTTCTGTTAGCTCAGTAGCCTTCTCGCACAACTTAATGCGGCTAGCGTCCGCGTCCTATGACAGGACCGTTAAGATCTGGGATGCGAGCAGCGGTGCGTGTCTGCAGACGCTTGAGGGCCATACTAGTAGGGTTAATTCAGTAGCCTTCTCGCATGACTCGACGCGACTGGCGTCGGCGTCCTATGACAGGACTGTTAAGATCTGGGATACGAGCAGTAGCGCGTGTCTACAGACGCTTAAGGGCCATAGCGGTTCTGTTAGCTCAGTAGCCTTCTCGCACGACTCAACGCGGCTAGCGTCCGCGTCCTATGACAGGACCGTCAAGATCTGGGATGCGAGCAGCGGTGCGTGTCTACAGACGCTCGAGGGCTATCATAGTGGTTATGTCAGCTCGGTGGCCTTCTCGCACGACTCAACGCGGCTAGCGTCCGCGTCTTATGACAGGACCGTCAAGATCTGGGATGCGAGCAGCAGCGCGTGTCTGCAGACGCTCGAGGGCCATAGCGATTATGTCAACGCAGTGGCCTTCTCGCACGACTCGACGCGACTGGCGTCCGCGTCCAGCGACAACACCGTCAAGATCTGGGATGCGAGCAGCAGCGCGTGTCTGCAGACGCTCGAGGGCCATAGCGATTATGTCAACGCAGTGGCCTTCTCGCACGACTCAACGCGACTGGCGTCGGCGTCCGACGATAGGACTGTCAAGATCTGGGATGCGAGTAGCAGCGCGTGTCTACAGATGCTCGAGGGCCATAGTGATTACATTAATGCAGTAGCCTTCTCACACGACTCAACGCGACTGGCGTCGGCGTCCTATGACAGCACTGTTAAGATCTGGGATGCGAGTAGCGGTGCGTGTCTACAGACGCTTAAGGGCCATAGCGGTTCTGTTAGCTCAATAGCCTTCTCGCACGACTCGACGCGACTGGCGTCGGCGTCCTATGACAGGACTGTTAAGATCTGGGATACGAGCAGCAGTGTGTGTCTGCAGACGCTTGAGGGCCATACTAGTAGGGTTAATTCAGTAGCCTTCTCGTATGACTCGACGCGACTAGCGTCAGCGTCTAGCGACAACACCGTTAAGATCTGGGATGCGAGCAGCGGTGCGTGTCTACAGACGCTTAAGGGCCATAGCGGTTCTGTTAGCTCAGTAGCCTTCTCGCACGACTCAACGCGGCTAGCGTCCGCGTCCTATGACAGGACCGTCAAGATCTGGGATGCGAGTAGCGGCGCGTGTCTACAGATGCTTAGGGGCTATCATAGCGGTTATGTCAGCTCGGTGGCCTTCTCGCACGACTCAACGCGGCTAGCGTCCGCGTCCTATGACAGGACCGTCAAGATCTGGGATGCGAGCAGTGGCGCGTGTCTGCAGATGCTCGAGGGCCATAGCGATTGGGTTAGCTCAGTAGCCTTCTCGCACGACTCGACGCGACTGGCGTCCGCGTCCTATGACAGGACCGTCAAGATCTGGGATGCGAGCAGCGGCGCGTGTCTCCAGATGCTCGAGGGCCATAGCGATTACGTCAACGCAGTGGCCTTCTCGCACGACTCGACGCGGCTGGTGTCGGTATCTAATGATAGGACTGTCAAGATCTGGGATGCGAGCAGTGGCGCGTGTCTGCAGACGCTCGAGGGCCATAGTGATTGGGTCAGCTCGGTGGCCTTCTCGCACGACTCGACGCGATTGGCGTCCGCGTCCTGGGACAAGACTGTCAAGATCTGGGATGCGAGCAGCGGTGCGTGTCTGCAGACGCTCGACGTTGGCAAACCCCTCAGCGGTTTCTCCTTTGATCCCACTAGCTCTTACCTCTATACCGAAATAGGCACTATCAATATTCAGAGCTTAGAGACTTCTATCAGGACAGATATCGCAGAACCTGCTCGCCCCTTATACGTAGGTACTGGCTTTAGCTCAGACGGTATATGGGTTCAACATGCTGGCAACAACATGCTATGGGTACCGTCAGAGTATCGACCATCGCACTCGTCTGTGAGTGGGACTATGGTTGGTGTAGGTGTCGGGTCTGGAAGAGTGTGGATTTGTAGTATAGACCTTTAAATTAGATCGGTTGTATGTGTTTGTCGCATGAATGTAAAGGTCTGTTCTACTTTCCTTCATCTCTTTCTCTTTCATCCTCTTCATATGTAATAGAGAGGGACGGGGATGCACGCGAATATAGAGTCTTTGTATCAGCTCCTAGAAGCTTCTAGGGCTGTTGGATAGGGTAGCTGTTGTTACGTTACGTGATGGGATGAATCCAGGATAGTTCTTGCTGTTTCTTACTTGTAGGGACGATGCAAGTAGATCATGCATGTTGACTTGCACGCTTGTAGAGGTTGCTAGCACGCGCCACAGTTATCTTTAGCACCTAAGTGCTATAGGTATAGCGCCGAATTTGTTACGATATTATACGGCGATATCTGAGCACGCTACTACGCACTACTGCATGCCAAGTGCTGCTAACAACGCACGTTCTGTAGGACGGGTTTGACGATCTTGCTGTCTGCGCGGAGAAACTGCCGGAACGTGCCTATAGTACTCTAAGTTGACCTTGCGTGGCGGTAGTCTTTATCTTTGCTCTTTTAGCTTCCTCTCTAGCCCACCGAGCTTTTCGCAGATATATGCTGTCGCAAACAGACAAGGGCGTGTTAGAGGAGAGTTAGGGGACAACATTAACAGAACGAGCGACAGCACAGTTGACGATACGTTTTTTGTCGTCGGAGACTGACACACTAAGAGAGTAAGACCTATAGAATAGATGCGCATTGTATTTATTTATATTTGATGACGCTTAGAGAAATCCGACGGTCCGGAAGATAAAGTGTCCCGTTACACCATGCGTCCCGGCACGCCTGGATCGACGTTACGCATTGTGTTTGTTTATTTTTGAGTACGTTACACGCAACCCGGGCATCCGGAAGAAAAGGTGTCCCGTCACACCGTGCGTCCCGGCACGGAGGGACGGACGTTACATCAACAAACCGATGCGGTAGAAAATGAAGCGGGCTTTGTGAACCGTGCAACGCATGGATCTTCATTCGCACTAGTGGTATGGGTCAAGTGGACCAGAGAGCAGGATCAGTGTCTCGCACTTAAGGTGTACTAGTTAGTGAGCCTATGTCTTGTGGTTTAGCAGCACGTAACCTGGGTGCAAGTATACCTTAGAATTTTTTTCAGCGTAGTTGAGCACTTTCTTTACTTAATTCACTCCGGCGATTGAATGTCGGCTCTCTTTTGCCTACTCAATTGCGGGTCATCCCTTGATCATTTGAGAGAAAATACTAAGCGTGCACAGTATGTACTCTACATCGCCTTCTAGCAGACTAGTTATACAAAATCGTACTTATAACCGCTACCACATTTGTAAACAAGATTTACCTTCGAGGTTTTTAAGTCGCTGCATCTAAAGATTCTAAAGTTAGTTATAATTAGAAGTCATCCACGACTCCGTATGCACTAATAAATGGTTTGTTGCTAACGTCTCCCACTACCTTCGATATCGCTTAGTCGTACGTGCCCAGTAGACAGACCGTGTAGACGTCTAGGAAAGAACTAGCTCCTGTAATTCTATATATTCTAGCCATTTTAGTAACTTAGCTTTGTTACCTGCGCAGCGCTACCCAAAGAGACACACGAATGCTGCTTAGCAGGGATCAGTGCCTCGCACTTAAGACGTACTGAAAGCCTTGACATCGTAGTATAGTAGCAAATGATTTGTAGCGCAGCTATACCGTAGGTTATTGAGTGCTCGTGGGGCTGACGGGGCTGACGAGAGCTAAGCCTCTCATGCCCAGTTACATCGCCCCCGCACCGACCCCTAATGCCCGAGATTTTCCCGGTTGTTACCTTCAAAACATCAACAATAGCTGTTACCCTCAACAGCGAGCTTGCATAACCTAATAAGTCTATAGTCCTTTACAACTTACTCTTGAGTATGAAGCACTCAATCTTAGATGTCGACACTGTCCAGCAATCACAATGTCCCAACCGCATTTCGAAGCGTCGCAAACTACGACCTGTCAGCTCCGAGACGCGCCGCACATCTCCGCCCGATTCGAATCCGTCGAACTTATCAAACCCAGTGTCACAGTCATCACATACATCCTCAGGATTATTCGCACGCACTGAAGACGCGCCCAAGAATACACATCAGCCTGTGTCACATGAGCCAGATGAGAAAACAGCGTCAATAGCACACTGGGTCGTTAGCTGCGAGGTTGACACGATGGCACCACCAACACCACAAAGCGGATCTGTTTCGTCCAGCCGTGGAAGACGCTCCTCTAAGCGTTCTGCACGTGCGTCTCGAACGCCCAGCCCTAGCAAGCGAACGTCACCACAAACGTACCGCAACCAGAATATGTCATACGCTGGAGTCTTTATTGACGACGTGATTGAACTTCCGCACGATGTCGAACACAAAGTGCGGTATATACTAGAAGCGGAGTCTTTAGAGGACAGAATTGGCACGATGGAAGACAATTCGCAGCAGGAGGCCTATGTGAAAAGGTTCTTAGATCTGTCGCGTTATAACGCAAGAAGTTGTTCGCTCGAAGGGGACTGGAAAGCCAGTTTGTTCAGCCTTATGAGCGACTTAGCACGAGATAACTTCCAGTGTCATACATCAGAGAAGCGTAAGTTCGCAGGCCGTGTCTGAAGCATTGTTCCGAGATGGTAATACTCCCTCTAGTGTGGAACGCCGACCTCAAGCCCTCGCCGCCTGGCGTGGCCCAACCCGATGATGAAAGCGACGCGTCAACACCGCGTTTTCCGCAGCCGCAATCTGTGCTCCCCAACTTCGATCCACAAACAGCTTCCGGGTTTCCAGGGCCAGTGCCTTCACTGCAACCGTATGCACCTTCTATCGCCTACACGACCAGCAGCGAAGCTGCTGACCCGTTCTACATCTCAACACCAAAGCCGGACATTGTAGTAGGGCTTGAGGACAGAGATTTTGAGCCGATGTATCGAGTTCGATTGGCCAAACACCAGAAGTTTGGATCGATACTGAGCGACCCGCACATGGCTGCCATGGGCTTGCGTTTTCCTTTTCTAATTGCAGAGACGAAAGGTTTGAGCCTAAATGGGGGTCTGGTGGCAGCGCAGAATCAAGCTGCTATTGGTGCCGCTTGTATGCTAAAAATACTAGATGACCTTGACAACCAGGCCGCAATGCCCGCAGAATCTATGTCTCCAGCAGAACCCCGGCTCTGTTTCTCTATCACGACCGAGGGTCCAGTGCATGAGCTGTGGGTGCATTTCAAACTTGGAGAAGCGACTCATATGCATAATATTAGGACCTGGCGCACGACACACGCACCTCACGTGCGGGAGCTGGTGTTCTGCCTCACCCGAATTTTGAAGTGGGCGAAAGATGATTTCATGGTGAAAATACAAGAGAAGTTGAATAGGGTACCAGATTAAATAACCATTAGCTGCCAGTGTCTAGCGTTCACTCTTCTTCGTATTAATTTCTGATATCATGGTGGCCCTACGTCGTACGTCTTCGCTCACTCTTCTCAGCTTGCTTCTTGTAAAGCTGTTCCAATATCAAAAAAAAACTAAATTGAAATTTGTTTGACAGATACTCATTGGGTCTAATACATACAGGTTTCCTATGCATAACTAACCTATGTTGCTATCTTTCTAAAAAAAAAAACTGTCCGCCGGAACTAATCTAATATCCACCGTCACATGCAGGTCGAAACACCAGTATTCTCTAAATAGATCCGTACCAGCTACAGGGTTTGTGCCACGGATAGCGCTTTTGCGATACAATTGGAAACGGACCACTTGCTTGCCAGTTAGAAATACCAATTATGTAATAGACTGCGCAAGCGTTCACGGTCTCGACTGTGCCCAATCTAGTCTTGCGAGTATTACTGTAAACTTGAGTCGCACCGATCTTTAGCGTCTTTTATTTGCTTATATTGTACCAATGATAGTGGACGCACTATCGCTATGACGCCTGTGGAAGAAAATGCGGGGGTATCTACATAGCATCACATCAGGGCAAGCTGGCTTTATCATCTCTAACTTCAGCTTACAGTTTGAAATCTCCGGCTGAGAATTATCCCACCTAGTAGATAATCCCTATGGCGATGTGTACTCATGCTACCGACAATCAACTCCTCCTGGCCATCTCTAAGTAAGAAATATGATTTCTCATTTCGCATAGTGTTCAAATCAGACCGGATGCGAGATCATGGCGAATTCGTTGACCTTGTGCTCAGCCATAACGCTGGAAGCTTCCACGTCCATCGTATCATTGTCTGTCCCCAATCGAAGGTGCTTCACAAAGCATGCACTGCAGGGTTTAAGGTAAGTCAACATCATCACATAAGATTCCTCCCGTTGCTAAGACAGTGCCAGGAGGAGTTTACCGGCACTATTCAGATAGATCATGTGCACCACGTAGAACTGGAGAAATTGGTCGACTTTTTCTACAGCTCTGAGTATGATGACTGCCTGCCGGAGGAAGCCGACGTATCTCTACTCCAACTCCATGCCAGGATGTTTGCACTTGCAGATCAGTACGACATTCCAGGCCTGAGTCATTTAGCTGTAGAAAAGTACTTTTCCAGGTGCACAACATCATGGGAACCCCTAGAGTTTCTGGTTTCACTCAAAGATGTTATGAAACCACCCCCACTAGTACTAGACTGCTACGCGACACAGCCTGCACAGCTATCCGAAAGCATTTGCCAAGTATGCTTGACAACGAGGATGTTGCAGAAATGTACGACAAGATTCTCTCTGAAACACCTGACTTCACCAAGGACCTATTAAGATGCTATGTTAACAATCCTTTATATGGGCATTGCCAATCATGTTTCACGTATCAACCTATGGAAGCACTGCAAGGAAGATGCAAGAAATGTAAGAAAGGTAATAGAGGTTTTGGTTGGTAAATCATTTAAAAGGCACACAGAGGTTTTGCTGAAGAAAGGCATGGATAAAAATGCCAGATTACTTTGTTTTGATCAGTTGATTGTCTTGAGTAGTTCAATAGTATCTCTTCGTGACACATGAACAAACTATTGCTCCAGGAATCTCGAACGCGACTTAGCATCCTCTATGCCCTCGACATCACCATGATTTTTACCATGACCAGCACCATCTACATAGTACGAGTCCTGCTTCCGTTCCTTCCAAGCAGTTAAATGTTTATATTGAAGATGTCGCCGTGAAACTAGAGTATGGTCATGCTAACTGTAAGCGCATGTTATTGTATTGGTATGTCATTGTAAGTCACGCTCCCTCTTTGAAGCGCTCTAGAACCAGCGCATAGTCAATCTTAGTAATCGCTTCTCATAGTTAACTAACTAACTCGTTACCTAGCGTCCGTCTCTATGTGCCGAAAACGACCAATCGGATCGCGACGGTTAGAAAGAAGTACATGATCCTTGCGATCCGATTGAACGGTTTTCGCCTTCATCCCCATGTATTGCGCAATGTCGGACAAAGGTTACTACCTAATCTGTACGATCGGGGACCATACGAGCCCCGCTCAGGTCTACCCATTAAATCCACGTTTCTTAGATCTAACAAACGCTTGGCTTGATATGCCGCATGTGTGCCCTCCAAAATATAGAATGTTACGGAGTACAATAAGCCTACTTGGTACACAACCCCACACAACTCTAGGCGCAGAAGTGGGACATGTCGCAATAGAGCGCCCAGTATTCTGGATTTTCGGATGACGTTTGCAGCTAGTCCAATAAACTCAGCTTCATGTGATATGTAAGCTTAGGCGTCATTCTGTATATCGGAGACAAATCATGGGCTTCGGCCATCGGCCATCGGATTTCGGAGATCTGTGCAGTTACGGTTAACATGGCGATTTCTTCCAAAATCCACCAATAATCGCCATGCGTGACTCGGAGATATCATTCGGCTCCGAGATGTCCACTCCTATTCAAGTTACTGCGTTAGAGAACGCTGGCATGCGGGGTCACAGCTATAGTACATAACAAAGAGGCTGGATGTGATCGGAAGAGCGCACGGGGGACAAATCTCAAAACCGGGGTGACAAATCACGCCAGCCCAGGCAACACAAGGTATCCGTTGCGACCAGTCAACAGCGCAGTTGTGACGACAGAATGAATCAGGTTCAGTATTCCTGACTTGTGGTAGATGAAAAATACAAGGAATGTGCAATCGCGATGCCATGAAAGTCGGCAAAAATAAAGACCCGAATAACCGAAAGGCAGCTGCATAATATGTATATAAACGCGGCATAGGCCCGGTTGAAATGACATAGCTGCACAACCACTACTACTAGCATTTAGGTGTTTTTCCTAGACCCACCACCACTATCATGGACCTTCCGAAAAGGTCTCGTGCCCCTAGTCTATTTCTTTGTCATGGGGCAGGTCCCTTCCCCCTCGTCACACCCGAGTGGGAGCCTTTTCGAAAATTGCTGTTCACATACAGTAACAAGCTCGACAACGCGAAAGGCATTGTGTTCCTTTCTGCACATTGGGAGACTAACGAGCCTCACATCACAGCCTCTGACAACCCAGGGATTTGGTATGACTACGCCGATGTGGAGCCTGAAAACGAAGCCCTACACCCGGCAGGATCGAATGAAGTCCAGTATCCTGTTACCGGCGATGCAGAACTGTCAAAAAGGGTTGCCATACATCTCCGAAGTCATGGTTTTGATCCCGTGCTGGACTATAAGCGAGGCTTTGATCACGGGGTCTACGTGGTTATGAAACCAATGCGACCGGAGGCTGATATTCCCATTGTCCAGATCTCCGTTCTTAGTGGAAGCGACGAGCAGGAGGCGATGGAGAGGAACTTGAGGCTAGGGCGTGCATTAGAGCCCTTGAGAGACGCAGGGTATGCCATTATCGGAAGCGGTGGCTCGTACCATGATTTCAAATCAATCGCGTCAGCCATGATGGAAGGGTCGCCGATTTCGCCAGATGCTTGGGATTTCGAGGAGTTTTTGAATTCTGTAGCGGTCGTGGCCGATGCGGATGAGCGGGAGAAGCGAATTCGAGGTTGGAGAGAGATCCCAAGCAGTTACATCGCTCAAGTGAAGGATGAAGCAGAGCATTTCTGGCCATTTTTGATTGCTTCTGGTGCTGGCGGTAATAATAAGGGAGTCAGGTTAGGCTTGATGAATGGTCCAGGAGGTCCGATGAGCTTCTTTGAGTGGTAAACAATACTAGAATGAATCCTTCCACGAATATGTACTTCTCGCCTTACCGTATTGTCTTGAACATTCGGCTTGTCGACCAAAACCAACGATAATGTACTTACTTGAAGTAACAATGTCAGTTTAGTTATGTCATAGCAAGCATTTAAAAATTATTGTTAATATCGCTCCTTCTGCTCGTGTCCTGTCGTCGCTTACAGTGGCTAAGACACCGTCTCCATCACAGACAACCACAGATGATAACCAAGCAGCGCAGTCAGTAGAGCAGACAGAGACGCCATATACAGTAGAGCAGCTTCAACAGAAGATGCGCTATCTTCAAAAGTGACTACGCAGGTAGTCAGAGAGCCCAACAAACGTTGCGATACGCCACCTTGCTAGATGCGCCCAGCTTACAATCAGTCAGCTACAATACTTGCTAAGGAGAATAGGAAGCTGCATCGAGGCAGCGAGCGTCAGTAACAAAAGAGAGACCAGTGGCATCAATACTTTGCTTCTAGTGGAGTGATCCAGGTCTCCCAGACTCTGCAGACAGCTGCAGAGGCGGAAAGGGTAGTGACGGAGGCTAGCGGGCGACGTCAGCGCGCGCCGCCAACGTGCACGAAGCATCACGTCCAAGGACATACTTGGGTTCAATGTAGACTTAGATAAAGTAGCTCTAGCCGAAATCATATTTTATTATCTAGTATTGTTGTAAAACTATCGCGCGTTACATCGCGTCATAGCTATTATAGTATAGAGCGTCGCGTCAAGTTTAGTGGGGGTGGCCGGTGACTCATGTTGGCCGGTGATTGATAGAACACGTTAAGGCATACCTTAGCAATAGTTCCTTAAGCACACTTGCCCTTAAAGTATCGCCGGCTCTAGCTATCGCCTAAGATTAGGGGTTCGGCTTCACTGGTAACATGGTAATATCTGATTCAGTCGTCGATAACGTCTCTGAAAGACTCTATTAGCATTAGCATACCTAGGATTTGTTCTACTAGTTAGCGCGCAGTGTGTCTTGTACTACGCCAAAGGTCTAGAAGAGAAAGCGTCCCGTTGCACCATGCGTCCTAGCACGTAGGGATGGACGTTAGCTCTCCAAGCCGATGCCCCTCTAAGCATCAATCGGCGCAATGACTGGACAGCACTGCACCCCACTTGTTGTTCTGTGACTCAAGCTAAAACACTCTAGAACTCGTATATCGTCCCCAACAAGAAGGCGCAAGAACCGTTAAAGCAGGCTAAGGACGAGAAGCTGCAGTCAAACCTATGGAGATTGAAAAAAGAAGTGTTAGAGTCAAAGCTTGGTAGCTTGCTGTATGAGATAAAGACGGATGTTGGCAGTGCATAGTAGTTACATGGGAGAGACAAATGACTAGCCAATCTTGTGACAAAACACCGCCCAAAGCTATCGCACTCTACAATAGAGTTGACTCACCATTGTGAGCGGCTTAGTGAATCATAGCAAAATTTGTTAGACGGTACGCGACAAGTATCTAGGGTATCTGGTCTGGTGCCAATCAGATCGCACGTCATAATCTATGATCTACACGCACGAAGCTTATACCGCGTCTATCTCAAATAGTCATCGCCCGTCGATACCATGTCGGGCACAAAAGTTCCCGAATGTATTCCGAAGCGCGTGTTGTTTCGATAGTGCCCCATAATTTCACGTCATTGTATTAAGTGGGGTAAATAGGTAACCTCCAAGAAGCTCCAAATATATATTCTCGATGTCGCATCACACGCAGTGTCACAATCGTATATCATCTTTTCCAAGACACTGGTGGTTACTCTAATCACTTATTGTTACTACATGTTATACGTATTACGTTCCATAACGAGGCATACAATAGAACTACCGAAAATGGCCAAGCTCACAGACTTCAAACTCTTATCATTCGACGTATATGGCACTCTCATAGACTGGGAAGCTGGAGCATTGACTGCACTCCAGCCCCATCTTAAGAAATCGGGTCAGGAGAATATAGACCGTAAGCACATCATGCAAGTCATGCACAAGATCGAGGCCCGTGTTGAGAGAGAACACGGTCAACTCAAGTACTCTCAAGTCCTTGCTATGGTACTTCCTGAGCTATGCGAATCACTAGGATTGGAGAAGCCAAGCAACGAAGAGTGTACGAGGTTTGGAGCGAGTATTGGGGATTGGCCTGGATTTCCCGACATTCCATCGGCACTGGAGCGGCTGTCCAAGTTTTACAAACTGGTTGTCCTGTCCAATGTGGACCACGACTCTTTCAAGAGAGGCAACGCAAATGGGCTCAAGGGATTCAAGTTCGATGCCGTATACACTGCCCAAGATATTGGATCTTACAAGCCAGATCCTAGGAACTTTGAATATATGCTCAGCCACGTTGAGGAAGAATTTGGAGTAGAAAAGCACGAGGTCCTTCAAACAGCGCAGTCTCAGTACCATGACCACCATCCAGCCAAGGATATGGGCATCAAGAGTTCCTGGATCTATAGGCCAGGTGCAGTTATGGGCAACCGTGACGATCCCGTTTACAATTGGAGGTTTGATACGCTGGCTGAGATGGCGGATGCCGTTGAGAAGGAATTTGCTGCGCTGGGATAATGAATGCGGCAAAAGTATAAGAACTACCCGTGCCAAGGCGTAGCTTATGACTAAGCCACGTCAGCTGCGCTGACACTCGCCGCAGGCGAGTGCCCACCCTCAATACGATATTACCTTCAATACGATATTTTTTCACAACGCTATTGCTTTAATCAACTCTTATAGCCTATATAATGGCCCAATTACAAATCTCTCTTATAATCGCATTGCAGAGATCTTAGAGTCTATCAAAGATATCCTAAAGCCCAATTTTAAGCAGCTTGCGCGTGAACACGGTGTTCCATACCAGCGATTACTCGCCCGATCAAAGGGCCGCCTAATATATTCTAAACGCCCTTCTGGCACATATAAGCTTGCTAAGGCGCAGGACCAAGCACTATACGATTATATCGCACGCCTTAACAAGCTTAGAGTTTGTATACGACTGCCTATAATCATATCGTGTGCCAATTATCTTCTTTAACAAGCTTATAATAGTCCTGGTTATCCACTAACTGCAAGCTCGCGATAGGCAAAACAATAGCTCAAACGACAACCTAAGCTTCACATGCGACGATAGCGATTTCTTAATCTTAATCGCGCACTTGCATATAATTCAGACTCTATTATTTAATGGTTTAATACCTTTACTAGTCTAATTCAGACGCATAGTATTCTACTATTAGATATCTGGAACTTCGACGAGACTGGCTTTCGCATTGGGATTAGAAAAGACAAGTAGGTTGTTACTTTTGAACCTCGCCGCCGTGTCTATCTACCGACGCCTGATAATCGTACATTATTAACTGTTACCGAGTGCGTCAATGCCGCAGGCCGCGCTATTCTACTAATAATTATTGTTGAAGGCGACACACTCCTTAAGCGCTACTTGTTACAAGTAACAAGCGAAGGATCTCTCCTGACGAAGGCCGCATGGTAGGAGACCATCGGGCAGCCACGCCAAAAGGTAATGATCTCCGCGGGGCAGAGATCACGTGACTTGACCTCCCGCCAAGAGCTGGTCTCCCGCCAAGGAAGGGAGGCCATGAGGGAAAGGGATGTCACGTCCTCCCGGACCTCCCTCGGATAAGGGATTCTATGGGAAGCCAGGGAGGACAGGACTGGAAGCAATGGGTATAAGAATGTGTTGGATCTCATTATTACACTCGTTGTGGTCAACTTCTCATAAGTTCTTCTCTTACACAGATTGATACTTAGTTATTCTATCCTTACAATAGAATTGGTTTGTCACCATCGGTTTATCCATAACTCTTTTCCACGAATCGCCAGACAAATACCTCACGGTATACTTCGATAACCAGTCTCGCCCTAACCCGGACCAAGGCTAGGCAAGTATTCCCCTACCCCGTGTAGACCCCGTGTAACACTACTTCACTGATTTATCTAATAAATACCTGTTAAGAGTGGATCTTGAGTGGAAGTAATATAAGACTTCTGGTGTCAAGACTCTAGGGTTGGTTTTCGCGGATGAAGCAACAGGGTGATATGAACAGTGTCTCTGCAATGTAACTCGTATATTGTACTTGTACTCGTAACTTAAGTTGAACACATCGAGCCATAAGGGCTCAATGCCTATTGCTATATACTGAGGTGTGATGCAGTATGCTCTGCTGCTCTGTTGCGCCAAGCATCACAGATCACAGAGCAGGTCACGTGACCGTCCGGCGGCACGGCTGCAGGATTGCGGCGTGGTTGCCTCTCGGGTGCGATCCTTCAGACTGATTACTGGTCCAAGTGTGTCAGCCGTGTGAGCGTTTTCCAGGATCGTAACAATACCTTGTTACGCACAGCGATAGTAGCTATATAAATAATTAATTAAGTTTTAAGTAGATAAAGTACTTTGTAAAACAGGGCTAGAAGCATATATAAGGGTTATATCGGCTACTTTTGTTTGATGGATTTGATTTATACTGCACCTAAGAGTTTCTAGAAGTCTTTGAGGACCACAACGTTATTGCCTATCGCCTACCTCCATATATATCTCACTTTCTCTGGCCGCTTGATGTAGGCTATTTCTAGCCGTATAAGCACTAGCACGCGCAGGCTATTAATTATGCAACCCAAATAGGCTATACAGCTTTCAACAAAGTTGAGTTCTTAGCTGCTATCGAGTTAATCCGCGCCTATATATTCAAGTCCTGTACAATACAAAAAGCTAGCGGGACTTAGAATTATATCTATTAGATATCAAGCGCGTCAAGAACAATTGTCAGATAAGTGACAGAATCCGGGTGTGATCGAGCAGCTGGATTCTGTGATCCGGGCCGATCAGAGCCGAGTGCCAAGGCCTACCCCTAGGCAAGGCTGATACTCAGCCGCCTACTTGATACAAAAAGCAATAGCGATAGCGCTCATAAGGCGGCGCGCCTACGCGCCGCTGGAGAAGGCGATCAATACGATCAGTTTCCACCATCAAGTTTATCACAGTCTTTTATCACAGTGATCCCAATCAATCCTTGATCAGAAAACCCCTCACAGTCTGACAACAATGTATAAAGAGATTTTGCTGATTGGGACGCTAATTGCCAAGACACTGGCAGTATGTAACAAGTAACAGGGAAAGGATCTCTCCTGACGAAGGCCACATGGTAAGAGACCATCGGGCGACCACGTCAGAAGGTAACGATCATCGCGGGGCTTAAGGTCACGTGATGTGCCATCCCGCCAAGGCTGGCCATCTGGGATGGCAGTGCATGAAGGGATGGCAGTGCCATCACAACTATCCCGCCAAGATGGGATAGATAGGATGGAAGGACTGAAATAATGGGTATAAGAATGTGTTGGATCTCATTATTACACTCGTTGTGGTCAACTTCTCATAAGTTCTTCTCTTACACAGATTGATACTTAGTTATTCTATCCTTATAATAGAATTGGTTTGTCACCAACGGTTTCTCCATAAACACTTCTCCCCGAATCGCCGGACAACTACCTCACGGTATACTTAGGTAAACCGGCCTCGCCCTAACCCGGATCGAGACTAGGCAAGTATTCCTTCTACTAACGTAGAACCCCGTGTAACACGGTATTGCATGCAATGATGCTAACACCCCTCCCTGGGTAACGCAAATCCCCCCGTGCCGCAAGAAAAGAGGGGTACTGTAACGGGCTGAACGCCCTTCGCCTCCCATACTCGTCTACGACCTCGTCTACTCCACCTGCTCGGCCCGATTGTTGCTTAGACAACTAGCATTGTATATAGATAGCTACACAGCCGAGAGCTTAACTCTCTATCGAATACAATCTCGCTCTTTGGCCAGTCCGATCGTGCTCCAAGCTTAAGACTACTCTATAGAGTTGAGCCTCTTACACTGTGTAAGAGAAGAACTTATGAGAGTTGACCACAACGAGTGTAATAATGAGATCCGACACATTCTTATACCCATTGCTTCCAGTCCTGTCCTCCCTGGCCTCCCTTGAATGTTCCTTTCCTAGGGAGGTACGGGAGGGCGTGACATCCCATTTCCTCATGGCCTCCCTTCCTTGGCGGGAAGCCAGTTCTTGGCGGGAGATCAGGTCACGTGATCTCTGCCCCGCGGAGATCATTACCTTTTGACGTGGCTGCCCGATGGTCTCTTACCATGCGGCCTTCGTCAGGAGAGATCCTTCGCTTGTTACTTGTAACATACCGCCTTTGGTACTTGTCAGGCTGCCTGTGCCGCTGTGCTTTTAACCCCAACGCCGTAGGAGGTACGACGCCTAATAACTTTCTACCTTTGACTACTTCTCAACAGTTTTAAAATACCATTGAAGATGAGGGCTAATTGCTTAGAATTCTTGAAGGAAGATATTCTGGATTCATGTATGATACGGATAAAACGAAAGCAATTCATAAGCCATATTATTAGGGAAATGCTAGAGTTAATAAACAAATTTTGTAAAAGTATCGTCATTGCGATTTGGAAATTCAAGTTCAGCGCAGGTCAAAAAGAACAATGATTATATTGCCCAAAGCACAAGCTCGACAAGCCCCTCTTTTTTCTAGAATTTGAGACAGTATAACCAATTGCTCGATCAACAATCTTAACCATAGAAATCGGGGTAATAGTCTCTAAACCAACTATAGAGAGCGGCAGAGCAAGCTGTATAAAGATTAACCGTTTTAGAGTAGTCATTCCATAACGTGTCATTGTCCACTACAGTGATTGCGTGTAGCCTTGTTATAAGAATCATTTTCAATGTTGCTAGTATGTAATGTTCTAGCGTTAGTTATTCAACATTTTATGATTTATAGATGGGTTTCGAACGATTATACGCCTATTTTATTGGTCCAATCAGCCAATGTGAGTGTATGAGATGTGTTACTAGTAACAAGGAAGGATATCTCCTTGATGCGGGTCATAGGGTAGGAGACCATAGAAGGTAACGATCTCCGCGGGGCGCTGATCACGTGACTGGTCTCACGCCAAGACAGTGGCATTAGTGATGTGCTGAGAACGGCTAATCGGATCGCAACGGTTATAGGGAAGTCTATGATCCTTGCGATCCAATTGGTCGTTCTTGTTATGTAGGATTTCTTGTCAAATAATAACAGACGTTACTATAATAAGCATTCTACATCGACAATCATACAATTACTATAGGCATGTGTTAATAGATCGATTCTGCCATATATTAGCATAACTTCTACGATCTCTTTCTGAGCAGAGCAGGCTGCTTACCGATGGAATATATTACACATGGGTGTCTGCTTAGCGGAGGCGAGGAATTAGTGTACTGTACTAACAACGTGGTGCGGGGCAGGTGCACAGGCAAAGTTCGGACCAAGGCGGATGCAACTCATTGGTGAGCTTTTCTGATTGGTGTTAACCAAGTTCTATCGATCTTTATTTTCGTTTCTCGAGTTTTATTGGTGAATAACGAAGTTTCTATCTATTGCTGGAGCGGGGCTGGAGCTTAATCCTCCTAATGGCATAACAAACGAACTCGCGAAGTGGATAAAAAGCTCGCGTTACAACTATGTATCTGCGGTTTTTCTACCGCTCTCTTGATCACCTAGTCCTCTTTGATTGCGCCTAATCGTAACTGACATACCAGCTATCGAACTAATCGCCGAAATGACGCTTCGCGGAGCCGATCCTTTTGAATGTTTCTGTGGCCGCACCTACACATATGCGATTGATCTGGAAGAACACCGAAGGGCGCGAGGTCACTTTCCCTCACATGTCTGCAGAGGCAGTTGCAGACATCCTCCAGTGGCTCAGTACGACTTTACCATTCGCAAATGTGGCTATTGTGGCAAGCTCTGTGAGCGCCTGGATATCTTTGAAGACCACTACATTGCTACTGGGCATTGTTTCTGTTCGGAATGCGACCTCCCCTTCGAAAGCCAGAGCGCTTGGGAAAATCACTGCGAGGTGGAGCTCCATGCTTCTGAGTACCGTTGTTGCAACTGTGACATAACTTTCAAAGATATCCATGCCCTGAACGCACATATGGCGAGCCGTGCGCATCGGAAGCCGCTTCAGCAAAAGCACAAAGTCAATGCAAGAAAAGCGGGAAAAGCTACTACCGTCAGTGCGGGCGATCACATGTGCAAGATATGTCGGCGAACCGTTCCATCCCTCCAGTCTTTCCAACAGCATTGTGAGTCGCTGAAGCACAAGCCAATCAGCGCTCTGAGTTGCCCTACCGGGGAAGGATGCAAAAGAAAGTTCAGTGCGCCGTCGGCTCTGCTGCACCATCTAGAAAGTGGAAAGTGCTGTTCAGGCATGGACCGCGATGACATCTACGACATCGTTCAGCTATACGACAAAGATCACACGATCCACATCCTCCCAAAACTCACACCTTCGAGCTCTACTTACTTATCGGCACATGGTTTATCTCCTGATTCCGGAGCGCCAACAGCGTCTCTCGATAGTTCAGATGGCTGGCTACTGGTCACTCCCACGCACTCTCAGGGTAGTGTAGAGGGTAGTCTAGTAGATTGGACGCTACCTGAGGATAGTCGTCTCTTGCTTGGAGGTAGACGCGTGATTGACGGAATTAAGCCTGAACTCCGTTGTTCACTTTGTCCGAGGAAGTCCAAAGCCTTTCGTACGGTACAGGCTCTTCAGCAGCACATAGTCTCTCCAACACACTGTGATAAGGTCTACCACTGCCCACGTAACCTCCTCCCAATTAACTCTAGCAAGGCTGAAACGAAGCAAAGAAAAGCAAAGCAATTTACAACTCTCAGTGGACTAGCTCAGCATTTAGAGAGTGGGGCCTGCCGTGGTGGCAGGCAGACGTTCCTGCGTTGTATTGAGTTCATCCAACAGCATTTGGGGCAATGGGGACTTGGAGGGATGCGCCTATTATTGCCAGGCTCTCAAGATTGAAAAAGATGGCATTTTCATTACAGATCTATAGCAACAGCGAGCAGTTAGGGTAGCAACGTGTCCTTTGTTGTTCGATAAACCCAAAAGTTCTTCACTTCCGCCAAGCAGACGGTCTCCGCCTAGCGTGTTCTATTGGCAAGCTAATCACCCTACGAAACTCAACTAATTATGCACGACGTATAAAAGGCGCAGCGCACTATCGGAAGACGTGACCAGCCCAGCCTTTTGTATTGAACAGCTGTATCTCTTCGTGGAACCTATGACCATTCGCATCGCTGCTATAACAATGCGATGGGTCGCTCTAGAATTACGGTTGGTTCCACAGCTTCAAGGAACTAAGGCCTACAGGTCAGCTCTGACTCTGGATCTACTAACACCCATGTTTTTGCGCATTGCCACTCAGACCAACACTGCGCACTGATCGATGATCTTACTTATTACTTAATGGCTTGGAGTGCGGGGAGCGCACGACAAACGGAAAAGGCACTAAGTACCTTACCTTTTCATCGTTAACTTCCTGAAAGCCCTGTTCATGGACGTTGAAAGCCGAACATTGTAACAAGTCGCGCTCAAAAGAGATTTGCTCGACTCGGTCGTGTTATGCATTCACGAATCCGTTCCTACCTCAACCTGCAAAGACTAGCCTATGAGAAATTCATTTGACGAGTCTACTTGGATCGATGGATACGACTGAGTATGAAATAATGCACGCGGTTTCTACAGATAGACCCTGGTCCATACCTCACAAGGATGTCCAACGCTCCCTATCAGCGTTGCTGCCAACTCTCTTCGAATATCTTAGTATAGATGAGGCATCGCAAATTCATCAACAGTTCCTTGGAAGCCAGTGGCGACCCAACAGTCAGGTCCTGTGGAGTGGCTTGTCACGTGAAGAGGTTCAACATTGGGCAGATGCACATGGCCTGCAAACACTCACTACTGCTATGGGACCTTTAATGAACACAGATGACCCGCTATGTCCGAAAGAGAAAAAATCGAAGCAGCAATGGAGTAAGTATGTTAAGGGTGCTTCTGTAATCTTCGCGTGGTATATTGCAAAAGGCGAAAAGGTCACTGTGTTGTCACCACCGCCTCCACAACGATTTAATCCTTCTGGGATGACCACGTACCAAGCAATTGAAGAGCCAATTCTTAAGTGGGCTATAGCCGGTGGGGCTAACTTGCGAATTGAGATGGTGCATCCCACCGTGAAGGGGGCAGAGGACTTTGCCTACGAGGTCTGGCCTGTTAATCAAACTGCTACCTGGGTTGCAGCCTTTGGGTTGAAGAATCTTCAAAAGCGCCCGTGGAGATCGACAAAGATGGATCCGCTGCATGTGGCTATAAAAAAAGCTATAGAACCTAGTAAGGCTCTCTCGATTGGTACAAGACTAGTATATTGACCTAAAATCAGACCCAATTTGCATTCGTTAACGATGAGAACCAAGGACAAGGTAAGCAGGTATGAATTCTATTACCTCTTGACTGTTATAATATGAGTTTGGAGGCTAATAGTAGACGAAAGAGGAGTCTCAAAAAACAGGAGGAAAAATATTGGAAACGACCAATACAGAAAGTAAGCCTCCTTAGAAGATCACGCTGAACAAGAATATTTGTGTTTACCTTGACTTTGGACCAATATACCCGCAAACACACCCTAGGAATTGTACAGTGGTTGTTCCAGTACGTTCATTACAGAATCTAGTTGATTGGTGTGGGAGCTGAGAGAAACTCTAAACACATCAAATCAGATTGAGACGGAAAATCCAAAATCTGGTGTTTTTTTTGATCATCAAATGGAGCAGACTAAATACTTCTACTCGTACTGGACTAGACTTGATCAGATTAGATCGGTCATCTATGTCCAATTCTCAATGTTAGTTATGTAGTTAAGTTTGCGTTGAATAGACTGCAATATCTTGTGAATGAGCCAGAGGATTTCCTTCATTACATCTGGTCGCAGTGAATGTGCTTACAGTCATCAGCTTTTGATATCTACCAGGCTTACTTTTGACTTTCCATTGCTCCTTTGCTAGCAAACCCACTATAACTATACGACGTAAAGTTCCTATATGTAAATTTCCCACCATTCATTAGAAAAGCCCCATTTCTTTAGCATCCCTCATGTAGTCCTATATCGAGACAATATTCCACATATTCTTCAGCTACTACAATTCCGTTTGCAATTGATTCTCGTCGCTTTCGATATCATCCTCGTCAATGACTATAGTGCCTCCAGTATTCCTAGCGTGCTCGTCGCCTGTGAATGTGCTCTTGATTTCTGCTGCCGCATTTGGAAGGTTGAGTCTGAATTCCGTGGTGATGGAATCAATCAGCCCTTGGCCTGCGGCCGAAGATATTCTGTTCTGCTGCTGCGCGATGGTTGTTTGCAGCATCAGCTCCAGCTGACGGACTCTACGTTCTGCTTCTTGCTTCATCACATCCATATCATGGTCCATACTCTTGACCCACGTATCCACCCTTAAATGTATAGTTTGCAATCGATTTCTGCACTCGTTGTCTTGCAAGATTTCGGCTAGTATATATGCAGAGTGGACTTGCTTTAGCAACTGAACAGAGGTAAGATGCAGGCGATGAACTGCGGTGTGGCGTAATTGAGTAATGCATGGCAAGGTTTCTTTGAAACACTTTTTTTGTTCGGTACTCATGCAATCGCTAGGAAGAGTGTCTAAATGCTTCTTGATGACACGTACCCAGTTTGTGAGCTCGACCGCAGCTGCACAAGCCCAGCCACACTTTTCAAGCAAGGAAGGAAGCCACCGCTGCGTAAATCGGAAGCATGCTTCTTCAAGGATTTGCTGGGATAGCGACAGTACGTGATGTTGAACACTGTAGGGAAATGCAGATGGTCGCGGGGTTATGTAAAAGGGACTGTTTTCTTGGCTGTTGATAATGGAAATTCCTACATGCGAGTATGTGAGATGTGACCTATTGGACAAGAGAATGGTTAAGGTGCATACCGGCTGTAGTCGCAGTACTCGGTTTGTCGATAGCCTCAGTTTGCACCACTCGTCCGACATCGATTGACCTTCTAGGAGACACTTTACGTTTCTTTGAGATGTTTCCGGTTGGTCTTTCCGAGGGTCGTCCCGTGATGAGGTCTGGAAAGTGCTTGCTTGCCATCTCCTCAGATTGGAACACGCCATCCGCAAGAAGAGACTTGAGGATAGAGACGACGTTGTTGATATGCGCGTCGCCAACAGACGCTTTTGAGTCGGGCAAGTTTTTTACGAGAATTTTGCGTATAGCCTTTCTCTTTCGCACATTCTTACCATTGAAGAGCTCACGATACTTTAAGAATACCTGTCGACGAGTAGCAGGCGCTTGAGCATCCATCTGGCTCCGAGGTATGGTGAATGCCGTATGAGTTATGATCTTGGAATGAGATCTCCCTCTTAATCCTGGCTCGGTGTGGCTCCCTGGTTACGTATTCGTGTCCAATGTTCGTGTCTAAAGTGCCGTGCGCTGCCGTCCATCGTTGACGATGCTAGCGACGCGGGCAACGCGCTGGTCGATCAGCAGTCTTGGCGGCGCCCCACTCCATGGCGCGTAGTACGTGTCGCAAAAGATAATCACACCACTATGCAGCAGCTATAACGCTAGCGAGGGTAACATTTCTTGAAAGACGAGCTGCGCGATAAACCCTAGAATCAGTTAACACATTAGTGAATCACAATAGAACACCGTTTCTGAAAAATTCAGAAGTTTTTGACTGTAGTGTACTCCGCAATGTCCGTCCCTACATGCCGGGACGCACGGTGTAACGGGACACTTTTTCTTTTAGGTGCCCGGATTGTACCAATCATACTTATTAATCGATGAGTTCAGCCTACATCCATTTTGCAGCTCTCGCTCTTCCAGTATGTCAGCCTCCAATGCTGAGAGACGTGTTATTGGCTACACTGTCGCTCATTTTGTCAGTGCCGTCCATCAACTCTCCTCTAATGCACCCTTATTTATTCGCGATAGTATAAACTTCTATATAGCTCGGTAGGTTAGAAAGAAAGCTAAGACAGCCAAGATCAAGAATACACACTCAAAGAGTCGACTTAGTGTGGGGAGTGTGCATCCCGGCAGTTTCTCCGTGCGGACGGCAAGATCGTTGAAATGTGTCCAGCCGGACGAGTGCAGCTGGTAGCTTTTAGCATACAGTAGCTTGCAGTAGCGTGCTGGAATATCTGTATCCCTGCCTCACGCTGTTACTGAGAATTGCAGCTTTGAGCATTCCGCCCTAGGCAGCTCTTATTCTTGACTTTGCAAAGAACTGTTCCTCTAGTCGTGCGCAGGTAGCCGCGCCTTATAGGTCCTCTATTGATTCCTTCGCAAAGCGACTCATTTGTCGTATAAATCGTTCTGAAAGTGCGCGCAGTTGAGGCTCGTACAGTAGAGGACGATACATCTCCATCAACGTTGGGCTGGCTCGTTACACAGCGCTGGTCGATTGCTGTTGTACGACTGTATTAGACGTTGCACCGACTCGCCACGGTGTTCACAACCATGCATCGTTTTTGTGGATGTGGAGTAATCCAAATGGAACATTCTAATAACGCGCGACAATGCTAGTTATACAGCACCAATGCGTATCTAATGAAGCTATTTGCAGTCATGATAATCCTTACTTTACCCACCCAAGACTTCTGCGTTTGAGATGATGTATGTCTTCAACCACTGTGATACCTTGCTTGCTTCTCTGTGCATTGAGTAACAGGACACGTCCTCGATGTCTTCCTTTGAGGGGCTACATCGGCAGAAAGAAACCACATGCGTAAGGCTGTCGTAAACAGCGTAATATGGGTCAGGATCATCCCTCGTGCTTCTATACAAGACTGCCTGGGAACAGACCGCCTTTGCGTTCTCGACGTCGGTATTGGTACCTGTGATCGCCATGTGGAAGCAGTAAGTGCTCTCGTTCTTGATGATTATGACTATAACTTCAAACTCTCCTGGTTCCCGCTCTTCGATTTGGGCAGTATAGTTTTGGTTGCTCTCATGCGAGAGCTCAAGAACACATTGAGCTATTAGGCCGTGTAGGCTGTTTCGAGTTATTCTCCAGAAAGATACCTAGGATAATATTCATCATACCTCGGCATCGCGACGTAGAAAAACTAGCTGTAGCTTTCCGCGGTCAACCTCTAGGGGCGCAAATGTTAGGTCTAAAGCCAGTGTGGCTCAGCAAGCCAATACAAGTACCAAAATAGAGAGCAAGTACGTCGCTGTAGTAGAGAAATCCCCATGGAAGTGCAGCTGATATATCTGTCTAGACAAGAAAACGAGAACTGTCTCCAAAGATTGCGGGAAGAGTGGCAACACATTATTAGCAAACGCGACAATAATGCAGCTAACCGTGCGTTGAGGAAGCACACAACACGGCTACCAGCACTAGCGACATTTTGGTTGAACAACTCACGCCACCTGTGAAAAACCCAATCGCTATATCAATTCTCAGGTTATCTTATAATCTAAGACGACAATCTAGGTGCTAGCAGCAACTATAAGACTGTCTAGGGGACACAATTCCGTGAATCTCTTCAGCATGTCGTTTCAAGTGAGTCTTGTCGTCCAAGGGCACCATGCAAAGCTTACAGCTAAGGTCCTTCCCACTCTGAATGTTTTTCAAGTGCTTGCGTCCAAAATGCTTGCTAAGATCGCCTGGAGTGCTAAAAGCATGTATGCGCTGTGCTAGCGGCAGGCCTTCGTTTCCTAGACAAAGGAAACATACTCTCGGCCTTTTTTCCTTGTACACAGAGATCTTAGCTGACTCTAGTGCTTCTTCTTCGTGTCCTGGTTGGCTCTTGGCGGGTAGGACAGCGTTCCTGCTCCGGGCCCCTTTTCGGATAGTGCTCATCCCCCCCTCTTCCATGCCACAATATAGAGTGACCGCATGGATAGCGTAATTACGCCTGGCGACCTCCTCTTCTATAGTAGGTCCTGGTTTCGACAGGACTGAATCGCATAGTTTTTTTTGGGCTGGAAGCATAATGTCGTGAACCAGCTCCAGATCATCATTAGTTTCTAACCCAGCAAGCTGCCGCTCGACATCACGCACAGGCTGCTCAAACTCCCACCGTTCTTTGACGTCCTTAAGAAGGGCATGCCGCCGACGCTGCCTCTCCTGGTTAATCTTGGTGGTGAGCGCTTTGTACTTGGGCTGTTTTGTTGCATTACGAACGGTACGTTTAAGGTGCTCTCGTTGGTTGAGAAGAGAGCAGATGGAAGGATCATCGTCTACAGATGCAGACTGCTCCTCCGTGAGTCTTCTTGGTCGACGACGATCAATCGAGCGGCTCATAGTACAAGCCGACCGCATGAGGGCTGCTTGGGGCTGGATGCCTCTTGCAACAGCCTGCGTATCAACTGTAATACGTCGCGAAAGGTAATGCTTCAAAAATGTCGCAATGCTGGCATGACCCATTATCAGATTCTGCATAGCCTCACTAACATTGCCTACACGGTGCGTTAAGACTACATCCTGCATTATGCAACTTAGATTGAATAGATAGACTTACCGTTCTCGTTGAAAGCCTTCCCTCCGGCGTATCTCAGCGAATAAGGACGGGTGACTTGAGCAAATCCCGTGATCTCACCCAAAGTCCGGATCCATGGAAGTAGGGTGGAGTAGGGGAGAGGTTCGGTAGGGGAGACATCCCAACCATTCAGAGTCTGCACCGCTTTCCGAAACACGGGAACATCGTCCAACGTCCGATTCAGGCGTAATGGGAGCTCATTGCGGCCTGGCGGAATCTTGAGCCTGCTCAATTCCTCTGGCGAGGTTAGATTATAGGCTGCAAACGCCCGATCGCGGAACAGCAGGCCAAGGAGAAAGACGTGAGGACTGAAGAGGAGCGTCTGATCGAACATGATTTCAGGAAGGGGGAAGGTGTTCCTTAAGGAAAAGTCCATCAGCGCATGGTTTTCTTGTACACAATGATGACGTACAGGTCTTTGATACCAAGAAATTCCTTTGTAAATTCAAATGTGAACTCCAGCAGTACTCGATGAGGGCCACCCTCAGGATCACGTAGAAGCGTAACTTGTATATGGCGATAACAGAGACTGAGGAGAGCCTGGGGCCGGTTCGCTGTAAACCCGCCAAGTTGTAGATAGAGCTGGGCTTGTATCCTATAGCGACCATGAGGATATCTCTTTTCGGTTGTTACTAGATTCGTTTGCAGAACTCGAGCCAGATCCTCGACATACATGCAGGCTTTATCTCGACCGATCTTCTTTAGGTCGTGTTTCTTCGCCAGCTTCCTTAATACCTGTTAGTTACGTTAGTCATATATGCCCATGTGAGAATGTAGTTAGAAAGTCAGGTCGCTGTACCTTATGCATGCTCCGATTCATCTTTCCGTCTAGTTTCGCACCAGTTGCTCTTTCATACACAAGCCGGAAAACCTTCCAATACGTTCCTAGGGAGCTGGAAAACTTGGTTCCTCGGCGTTTCCTCCCGCCTTTTCCCTGACGCTGGCTAAGTAGCCAGTCAAAGAATGTGTATAAAGTGCTAACCGATACGGTTGCGTAAGCACGGTAACGGTCTTTCCTAAGGTACGTCCAGCACCTATGCTAGATTAGTCGATAGGATCTAGCGCAAGCTCTAGGGGGATAGGAGATCTACTGGTTCCACTGATCTTCCATACGATTGAGCAAGCGAGTACTGCTGTCCTTATAGTCCTCTTTGACGTATTCTTGTTCGTTGAAATCCTCAAGTTGTTGAAGGTAGTATTCAGGCGGATGATCGTCGTTGGGGAACACCCATGCTTCGTTCTTCTCATTTTTGTCGGCAAATTCGTCTACGTCTGTCAGATCCGTATCCAGCTCTACATTATGGTCTGTGTCAGACGCAGAGTAATCGCTGTTGTTGGAGGAACTTTTAACGGATGAGTGTTGTGGCATGTCGCGCAATATATGCAAAAAAAAGCGTGAGAAAGAGGTAAAGCAAGTACACGCAGAGCTGATAGAAGCAGAGCATGCGCCTATAGTTGGGTGTCTGAAGCGAAGTGTGGAGGGAAACAAGAGTAACACAACGAGACTTTGAGTTTGAAAGAGAATGCAGGCTGCAAAGGAAACAAGAAAAGGAAAAGAAAGCCTGGTTTGTATTGTTGCGGACGGGGAGTAGAGGGCCTTTAGTACTCTATCAGCAGTCCGATCCTAGACTCGGTTAACATTCACTTATAGTGTTTGAGAAAATGAGTCAGGTCACAGGCATGCTGCAGCATGCCTAACGAGAAAATATATTAGCCCTTACACTTGTTTAACGCCTACGCTAGCTAAGGTAGGAAAGCCGGAGAGGATTCCACTCGGGCCACTGCCCGCACAATTAGGGGGGTTTTGTGGCAAGTTAGCATCCATAAACGGCGTCACAAGCTACCGAAATCAGCAGCGAAATTGCCGTTGGATTGTTTAAGATAGTTATTTAGTAGCTATGTTTAACTACTACTTGCTCCCCTCTACTAAAACACTATAGCC